AAGAATGAATTGATTAATTGTCTCCGTGCTACGAGTCCATCGTAGCACTATAATATCTAGTTCTACCCTATTGACGCCCCTGATCATCATTACTAGTCTGACATGCCTGCACGCAGATCGTGCTTTCGCTTTTGGACTGGATCCAGACTTATGCAAGCATAAGTTTGCTTACACCTCCTTTGTAAATAATGCAGATAGTAACCTGCATGGACCCATAGGGTGCCTGATCGGGTTAATTGAAATCAAATTCAAAATCAAGTACAGAATTTGTAGTCACGTGTGTATCAACAACCTGGCCTACTTGATTGCCCAAATTATTCTAATTTACATTGGACGAAGATGAAGTGCGCCACTGTCTTCTGGAAGTTTCGTCAACTACTCCGGGACATGACCACCTCTCTATCTCAGCTCTTCGCCTGGTATGGGAAGTAGATACATGGCGCTCGTGGATTGTTAACCTTTACAGCCTCTGCCTGGCATATGGTCACCATCCCAGCATCTTCCGCCGCGCCGAAGTGGTGGTCATTCCTAAACCGCACAAGGACGATCTCACCAATCCTGGGAAATGGCGACCGATTTCGCTTCTCCCAGTTCTCGGGGAAGGGCTGGAACGCCTCCTTGCGTGACGCTTTGCCTTCTGGGCCTTGTCAAATCGCATTATCTCCCCCTTGCATTTCGGAGCACTACCCGGAAGGTCTGCCATGAATCTCGTAGAATGTTTGGTTCACGATGTCGAAAAAGCGTGGGAGACAAAGCAGGTGTGCACTCTCGCCACCCACGATATCCAATTAGCTTTTGATAGCATTCAGCCTGGCCGTCTCCGCGCTCGTCTACGCGAACAGGGATGGCCTTTACCGTACGTGAATTGGGCTGCTTCCTTTGCTTCTTGCAGGAAGGCTCGTCTCATAGTGGATGATTTTGTAGGTGACTTCTTGGATATTCCGCATGGCTTGCCCCAAGGATCCCCTGCTTCTCCTATATTGTTTCTCCTCTTTCTCGTGCCATTATTTAAACTCGGGTTTCCTACGTTTGGATGTGGAGAAGACGTAGCAATCCTCTCGGTCGCAAAAACTCTTGCCGATTCTTCTCATCTGACCACCCACAGGGTCGGAAGCATCACCCGTTGGTGCGAGCAGAATGGACTCTCTCTGGCAGAAAACAAGACCGAATTCCTTCATCTTCACAGATCTCGTCAACCTTCTCCTCCGGTCATCATCAATGGCGTCCCAAAAAATACAAATTCTACTCTAAGATGGCTAGGTGTCTTTCTCGACACCAAGCTCTCTTTCAAACAACATGTTCAAGAATGGAATGCTAAAACGCAACGGATTAGCACCCATGTACGACAGCTTGGAAATACCAACCGTGGTGTCCCAACAACCTTTCTGCGCACTGCAGCCCTAGCTGCGGCGCTACCGGTCCTCTTGTATGGTGCTGAGGTCTGGTGGCGCGGTCACACTTATCTCCGCCGAGGACGTTCAACTTCAACCCGATCTCAACACCTAGTAGACATGATCTCTCGAGCTTTAGTCAACCTGGCCAGAGCAATCCTACCAGTATACAGAACCACTCCTACTGCTACACTTCTGAGAGAAGTGTGGCTCAAGCCAGCTCATATTCTACTTGAGTAGATACGCCTCCGCTCCGCTGTTAGGCTAGCTGCCGCAGACGTCTTTCATCCTTCGGTCAGAAGATTAAAAGACCCTCGCGTACAATCTCGCCTCACCGAAAAATAGAAGCTCATTTCCCCCTTCCCCCGCCCTCGGCTCTTACCTCCCTCCTTTAAAGCTCCGTTTAATCGTACTCGAGCAGACTTTTCCGTCCTAGAATTCTCCGAGCGTATCAGCGCACTTCCACCATGGCATATCCTTGTCTTCTCTGACGGCTCAAAGCAAAGCGATGGGTCTGCTGGGGCGATGCCATCGTTCTCCATAAAGACATCACTGTAGCTCAAGTGAGGGTGCCCCTCGGCCCCGATTTCGAGGTCTATGACTCCGAAATTATCGGCGCCCTGGCAGGGCTTAAGGCCGCTGTAGCTGCCCCTTCAACTCATCTCGCAACCAACATCCATGTTATCCTAGACAATCAAGAGGCAGCACAACGTCTCCTCCATTATTCACCATCTAAGTCCTCGCAAATTGAAATTCTAGAATTTCGGGATCTCGCGTCTAGCTGGCCTACGAGGAGAATTCTGCCCATCGCATCTCCTGGCAAAGTCCAAGTTGTGTGGTCTCCCGGTCACAGGTATTCCAGGCAATGAGCTGGCCGACAAGCTGGCCAGAGAGGCGGCTCGCGAACCAACCCCCCTGCCGCATCCCTTGCCGGAGTCCGCGCAAAGATTAAAAGCCAAATATGGGACTTGACCACAGCTTGGTGGCAATCTCATGCTCCCTCTACCTATTGTGAGTTAGGGATGCCATTTTCCAAGAAGCCTCCTGAGGAACTTCGACTCCCTCGCCAATATCTCGGGTATCTAATCCAATGCCGCACTGGACATGGTGACTTTCGTGCCCATCACGAAAGGTTTAATCATCTTGATGCCCTTCTGACTTGTTCCTGCGGGGCCAACAAATCAATCACTCATTTAGCTTTTTGCCCCATTGTGCGAGAGAGACTGGCTTCGGCCGGCCATCGACGAAGAATGGGCTCACTCTATTTTCTTCTAAGCATCTCCCCAGGAGCTAAGCGTTTCACCACCATATTGGAGAAGGTTAGGTTCCTCTCAGAAATCTGCCCACTCCGTTAAATATGAGCTATTCTTGTGAGTTACCCGCTGCATAGCGCTCGCAGTTTCTAAATATATTTTCATGGCCCCTGCCACTGCATATCACGTTTTGTATTACTTAGTAGTCACCATGTCCCCTTAGGGATGGGGCTTTAGTTGTAACTAGTGCCCGGTAGACATAATAAATAAATAAATATTATAATTTATAACACTATCAAATACATATACTTCCCTGAATGAAATATCTGAGACTTTCTGTTTCATTTGTCTGCCCAATGTTTTATGTTCTATTTATTCCCACTTTGTCTACACCTATGCACCTGAAAGATTTTAAAAATTCAAGTAATGCCTCTTTCCCCCTTTTTGTCCGAAACAATATGAGCAGTTTGAGTGCTTCTATAGCTTGGAATAATTTGTTCCTTTCTTTTGTAAATTTGCAACATTGAAGAATCAAGTGTTGCATTGTCTGCCTTCCACTTGCACAGAAATTGCAAGTATTATCCGTTGTCTTTCCAACCCAGTGTAAATAAGCCTTCGAATTCCCAATTCCAGTCCTTGCCTGGAAATATGGCAATTTGCTTGTCTATTATGTCTTTAAAAATTGATTGGGTGTGTGTAGAATTCAGGGTTTTATTCATTGCTACCTAAATGAACGGCAATGAAACCAGAAGCGACAAAATAAAAGAGAAAAAGTAAGGTAAATATCTGAGTTACGGTGACCTGCGCCGCATCCCTTTCTTTCAACGCATCTCCTCTCGAATTGGAAATAGTCTCAGCATGATCATCTACCATCGTGTTCGTCTTTCTGTAGATTGTAATATCTACCATCCCTTCTCCCCTATCATTTCTCTGGCCCCAGGTGATGCCATTCCAATATAGTGGATTTTTTGTTCAAATAAATTTAATTCATGTTTTTATCCAACATACCAGCCAACCTTGATTCCATCATACCAAAAGACTTTAAAAGGATCTTTGATCGTCAAGACGTAACATACGGAAGGACTATGTTGTCTCTAGTCATCTCATATTTCAGATCGATAGACCTATCTCCTTAGTTTCATTGGATATAAATTTATCAAAAAGACCTTTATTTCTAAACACTCTCTATCATCACATAGCCACCCATATTTGTAAGATTAATTAGTTAAAGGATGACAGAATTGAGGTACGTTCCATTGCATGATGAGAAGGTCGCAGCACTGAAGGGGTCCTACCCTGATGGCTTGATTTTAGTGCCCAAACAGAAGACTGACGTTTAAGAGGAGAAAGTAACTTCTAGATCTAAGGTAACACTTGTATTTAGAGAGATAGAGGCATACATAGATAGCTGGATTTTGTGACTTGTTGTATCTATAGCGAGTTATCTAGATATATGCGCCTGGTTAAAATCAATATTTAAGTAGGATCCAGAGAAGTCCGATCATTTGAGAGTGACAAAGTTTAATCTGCTACAGATGCGAACAATGTGAAGAATCCTGTTTCGCTTCTATAAGGCTCCTCAGGGGTAAGGAGGTTTCTAATTCCCTAGCACATTTACTGACATTATCCAGATGCAGGGATTTTTTCCTGATTCAATCTGAAATTATCGACGAAACCCTTTTCAATTCGACTTCAAGAGTTTTCTTTGAAATCTAGTACGTGAGCAATTGTAGATAAGGTGGTTTTCATTCTTTCTTGGTGCTATTCTGCAAATTAAGCACACATGACAGGATAAGCAAATTTTATAAATTGGGCTGCATTATTATGTCCAGTCCGGCAAATGCAATTTCGATCGAGACTTTCATACTTTTTTGAAAAGCACCAAAATTTATTGACAAGGTATCCATGAAAATGTCGTCCAGTATCAATATTTTTCATCAAGGCACAACATCCAGTCTTCTTTTCTACTTTCAGAGGGCTGACGCTTGTAGTTAGATTAGACCTTTGGCTCTTATCGTATTAATAGCAAAGATATATGTCTTTATTAAGTATTTTAGACCGAGTTGGTTTCAGTATATGCTAACTTATCGTGATTGGTTTAATTTTTTGAGATGATATCGATTTCCCAATATGGCTTCTTAGCTGAAGGTTCGATACGAGTTCGAATTAGTATCTTTCCGCAGCATATCATTTCCAAGGAAGATGATGAACCGTCATCGTAGATAATCTTTAAGCCATAAAACGAAGCATGGAATTGTTGGATACAAGAGATGCAAGGCCTTAAGAAAGTATAGTCATAATACAAAGCCCATTTCTAGGGACAAATATTCAGTAATAAAATTGAATATTGAGAGTCTCAACCCCAAAGTCCCAAGGTCCAACTAGACCGCTCTCCAGGCCCCGATCGAATATTAGTTGATTCCATACCTCTCCAGAGCGATGTGTGATATGACTCATTTGATTTCGAGGCTCCATAAATCCCGTGCTGAGACCACTGCTCTTTTTCGATGACCACGACTGCTTGGATCTTGAGTTGAGATAATAGACTGCCACCAGCCCAGGCTCCAAGAGTGCCTATGGCTCTCAGCGTACCAGTCTTGACAGGCGATGGATCTTTTATAGCTCCTCTTCTTATCCTTCTCTCAAAAGGGTCGGCTTCTTGGGGAGTTGCAGCCGCGACTGACATTGATTGTACGATAGATTTATTTGTCTCTGTCTGGGTTTCATAAGGATCGCTCCGGCTGGTCTTGTTTTTAAATAACTTAGGATTTCTGATGAGCTGCTTCACAGCGTTACCTCGGACACGGTTCCATCCATAATTTTCTACAAGATGAAACACTTCCTGCATGACGCGAGGCTTTAGACCCGGGATATTTGAGGCGCCACCAACAAATATTATGCGTTCCATACACACTGATCTTATATCCACAGGTAGTTTTAAAAGGCTTTGATATACAAGTAAATGTAGGGGAAGTTCTTCGTCATCAAATTCTGTTGCAGTGGTCTCAGGGGCAAAAAAAACGCTTTCGCAAGGTGAGGATAATTCAGAGAATGGAATCTGGATTGTTCTCATAGGCTTAATTGATCTCAGTGGTATGTTGATTATATCATCATGTTTTTGTTCTTCCGTTTCAAGCGTATCTGACACGTTTTTCTCTACTTGGGTAGTAGGATCTTGTAACGTTGATGGATGAAGTTTCTTCATGGTTTGGCACCATACAACTCGTTCCATAACCTCCTCACACTCCTCAAAGCTAAGGTTGTTCTCTGAGTTCTCGATGTAGTCTGACACCGGTAATTTGTAAACAAAACTAAAAAGCTTTCTTGAAAGTGCATCTCCTAACATTTTTGAACCTCTTATCGATCGGTTGCACTGTACCTCACGATACTCATAGATACTTGTGACAGTAGTTCCAGCCCAACCAATGTCTACGACGAGAGCAGATCTTACACCCGCGGCTATAGCCGCCAGCAACGGGGCTGACATAAGGGATATACTGGATGGTTGAAAGTTTGAGAATAATGTTTCCAGCGTAGTAGATAGCAACGGGATTGGTAGTGTGGATGGTAGAGCTAGTAAAAATTTTCTAGGGCGGGAATCAACAAGTAAGTTCCTAATTTACTCAGATTAATAAAGTCAATCTAGAGCCTGGCATTTACCAACTTTGTGAATGCATCTCTCACAGCCCGTTCGATCTTGTCTCCTACCAAACCTAGATCTAAATTCCGTAGGTCTGGCCGCCATAGCTCGAATGCTTCCCCCCATTCCTTCCCATTGGCATTTCGGTTGGACCCGTCATAATTTGTCGACCATTTCCTCAAGTCACCGGCCCTTCTTAGCTGCTCATAGCCAAAATCCATCACTGCTTGGGGAGTAGCGGATCCGGCGAGCCCTACTTGTAGATATCGGGCCCCAAATTCCAGGACAACGCATTCTTCTTCGGCACGGAGGACTGAGGGTGAACCAAAATTAGGAGTTGAGATGCGTAAGGGCGTTTGAGGACCCGATGGCGATTTTATGATCGACGCAGCGCGGTGTGCATAGCTAGGGCTTCCAGAGAACATGCTATAATAAGAGTTTAAGATGCGGGTCCTTATAACTATGTCTATTTGTTCAACCTTTTTGTAGATTGTGTCATGAGAGTAAGTCAAGGTACGCATTTGCCCCGAATGTTACGTGACCCGGTTCCCCTGACGACCTCGGACTATTCCTATATGGAGATCTAAACAAATAACCTTAACATGATGAGTGACTTTCAAACAGCAAACTTCAATTTTACCCTACTGTTATAATTGTTGGAAATTATTCTTACTCATTAAAAGTGTCGGTTTCGACGAATTATGCAAATTCTTTGGGATTGGAGATTCTTATAGATGATGAGAAATGGGTATCAAAGGGTAAATGACTTAGGAACTTCCCTCTTATAATTTAGTCTTTAACAAATGTAACCAGCATTTACGGGGAAATTGGTCCAGGAAAGAGGGTATCTTTGACAAAACTTGCCATGGACAATTACGTGGAGTCTGGCCGCCCCTTGAGAATTGCAATTGATATCGCCATTTGGCAATTCCAAATCCAGGCAGGACGAGGCGGCTCAGATCCAGCGACTCGAATCTTATATTACCGTCTCCTTCGCCTTCTTTCGTCTGCAATACAGCCTCTATTTGTCTTTGACGGCCCAAACAAGCCACCTGTTAAGCGAAATAAGCGCACTGGAACTAACGGTGGTTCTGTGTCAAACCTTCTCACGAAACAGCTGCTTAAATATTTCGGATTTCCCTATCACTACGCTCCTGGTGAGGCGGAGGCTGAATGCGCGTTGCTTCAAATAAATGGCGTAGTTGACGCTGTCTTAAGCGAAGATGTTGATACCCTAATGTTTGGCTCCACTCTATGCCTTCGAAATTGGTCGTCAGAAGGACCTCGTGGAAACAAGGCGCCCACGCATGTCTCGGCATATTATTCTGAAGAGACAAAAAACGGAAAATCTGGCCTAGACCGAGAAGGAATGATTCTAGTGGCCCTGATGAGTGGTGGTGACTATTTAACTGGAGGAATACCTGGTTGTGGTATTAAGTTGGCCTGTGAAGCTGCTAGAGCTGGTTTTGGTAAATCGCTGTGTGCTATATCAAGGTCAGATTGTGCGGCATACAAATATTGGAGAGATAGTTTAGCCCATGAAATCATGACGAATGAGAGCAAGTTTTTTAGCAAACGAAGACAGGCACTCCTAATTCCTGAGGACTTTCCAAACCGCGAGGTTCTAGGATATTACACTCATCCGCTGGTCTCAAATACTGATAAGATCCTCAAACTAAAACATGAAATCGAATGGGATGGAAAATTTGATGTACCAGGGTTACGAAGTTTCGTTGATGAAGCTTTCGAATGGAAATATAGATCTGGGGCCATAAAATTTATAAGAGGTCTTGCGCCTGCACTACTTGTTTACACGCTGCGCTTACGGGAGGATAACAGAGATTCAGATTACGATGATCGAATTCTCACGGCAATGAATGAAACAACAATCGTCCGAGCTGTTTGTGGGAAACGGGTACATCACAGCACCGACGGTATCCCTGAGCTATGTCTTGTCTACCATCCTCTGGATATAGTTCACATTGACTTACAAGATGAAGAGGAGCCTATGTGCGAGTCGAGTAGAGATGGATTAGCGCCGCGAAACAAGGAGGATGAAATTGAGCAGTATATCTCCAATGGCGATGATGAGCCCGATATCCCCTCTAGAAAGACTACAGCTACCTATGACCCTACACTCCCGATTAAAGCTTGGGTTCCACGAGTTATTGCGAGTATCGGTATTCCACTAAAGGTTGAGGACTACGAAGAGTCGCTGCGGGATCCTAAAAAATTTCTTGCCGCCAAAGCAGAAGGTAAAAGGGCTCTGGCAAAGAAATCTAGCAAGAAGGAAGAGGTAAAGCAGATAAGGTCCAAAAAAAATCATACTGGCGAGGATGTCAGAATGCCAGGGCGCCCTAAACCGAGTGAAAAAATAATATCAGCTCCGTTCATATCTCTCTCAAAACATAAGTCAAATACGGTTGAACAGCCAGATTCCATATGCGGTACAAACAAAATTCCAAAAAAGTCGTCTACATTAAATCAAAAATCCCAGATCGGACTAGATAAAGCTCTCAGTAAACCTATTACCAAAGAAAGGGCGCCGGCCAAGAACAAAATCAACACTAAATCATACGTTAATAACAAACCGTGGAACCCTATCCAGCAAGGGCAATTACCCTTCAACAAGACTTCTAAGGCTTTCATCAATCATGGGCAGAAAGCTGAAGATGAAACCAGATCCCTTTCATCCAAAATGCCATCCCAAAGTGTCCAACTTCAAAAAAAATCGCTTTCAAATCTACCATCACTGTTGAATGTTTGCCTATCCCCTCGCTCCTCTCCATCGGGAGAGATGGGAAAAATACATCCTTGCGCGGATATTTGTATGTCACGAGGCAAGAGACGGACTAGCGTCAATAGTGTAGAAATCACTACGCCCACAAACCTTAAAAACTGCGCGGCAAGTAGGGCCTCGCTCAATCACAATGCATTGCATGACTGTGAAAATGACCAGAACCAACTTCGATCCAGGGATAGCGACTGCGTGGTTATTGACGCAAAATCCAAGATAGAGCGTCCCCTAAGCTATCCAGCTCCTCGTACGTCCAGGCAAGGGTACGGCAAAAATACCGTGATTCCAGCAACGCCCCCTAACTCGAAGCAGCGAGGAAGCTTCCATGATGATCACGAAAAGCTCATGCCACACTTTCATTCGCGGAGGCCGGAAGTCATTAATCTTACTTCTTCACCCGCCTCCACTCGCACACCCAGGTTCAGGTCCCCCGCTCAACCAGTGGAGGGGAGTAGGCCCAGTGATGGAAGACTTGGTCACAAAGATAGCCTCTCACCGGATCTGCCAAGATTAGGAGCTGCTGCTATATCGGCGCATCGTCCCCACAAGTCCCGAGCTCCATCACGCAAAGTGATTGTGCTTAGAGAAAGCCTACCGGGCGCTTGGAAGGTAATTAGCGAGAAAGCTGGGGATACGCCAGCGAAAGTTGCAGGGGCGGGTGCTGGTATTGGTGGGCGACGCGAGTATATCAACAGTCGGCAGCAAGCGTCGCCGCTCCCATCCCGGAATCGTTGGCGCTTGAGTCAGATTGATCTATTAGATTTGAGTGGCGAGGTATAAAGCACCTCAGCTCATGCTGTACCACTGTCGTAGTGACGATGAGGTACTATTTAGTTTCGATACATCTCGGTACTATCTTGTCCCATTTGGCCTAGCGGCTGGCCATCTGACCGGGACAATGATAGGCACAACGCTTACAGTTGATCAAATAATATACCCTGTCAACAATCTCCCGAAGACGTGGCAGGCAGACATGGATAAGTGAGGCTCGGTGATGTAGCCTCGCGCGCACCACAAAAACTGAATACTCTAACTTTATAATTTAAATCCAAACACTGTGTCGTATATAGTCAATTATTTCTGCAGCTAAATAATTACATACACCGAATACAGGCCATGCCAACTGCACTGAACCTTTCACATTTGAAATAAATACTGTATTTGTCAAAGTGAGACATGAGTGACCGCCTTAAAACCCCGTTTTCCTTTAAAATCAAGGCTAAATCAGCAACCTACCAGGCCATTGCCATAATTTACATAATTTTCGACTAAACTCCTCACCCTGAAACCAGTATTTCCTAGCGCCATATGCACGTGAATGATACAAAAAACCTGAAATGGAAAAATTAGGAAATTTCTTGCAGATACGTAGAGATGCAACTGTTCCAAGCCTGTGCAAATCATAGTGATACAACTGTTGCGCCGAATCCCAGAGTCGTTCACCGACTCACAAACGCTTTGTCATCTCTCATTACCGTCCCGTATATTAATTCATGCACAAACGGCCTTTAAGGGTTTTCCCACCTGGACAATTAATCCATTTTAGGCGGGGATCAGAGTACAATGTACAGATTATTGTACCACATTTGAATCAGTATCCGTGGCAATTGCTGATTACGATGCTATCCGCCAGGAACATTTCTGATGGCATACCTTCTTTTTTATTTTGCATGCAAAGTTTGATAGCATCACATACGTTAGATAGTGCTTGTGGACAACTTTTCATGTCTTGATGGACCATTCTTGAACTAATGTCGGAGTTGCAATGGCGCCGTATTGTATGCACTGTGCCATACACGCCATAATTGATGCGTACAATGTTGGGTTGTTACGGGCTTTTAGATAGTACTTCTCTCCCACTCCTAGTACGCCTAAGCCATCAGCATTTCGAGCATGTAAGTTCGATCCGCTCTCAAGTAGCACGCGAGTAGCAACTTTGCGTCCGAGTTTTACAGCTATGTGAAGTGCAGTTTCACCATGGCTATTTCGCCAGTGAATATTGGCGCCTCGCTCGACGAGATAGCGAAAAAGCTTGGCAAGAGTTTTGTCGTCTTCGCCGTCTCTAAGACACTGAACAAAAGACATTAATACTGTATTTCCAGAGCAGTCATAATTATTAAGAGAAACACCGGTAGATATGAGTTTTTCCACTAGCTCGTATCGAAGATCAAGACGAGAAGAGACCCGCTCTGGTTCTGGCTGGTCTGCTTTGCGTTTGTTGGTAGATCCTTTAACCAGTAGTTGGCTATTATCGATGCTTAGAGTCAAGGACGCTTCGGCTAAGCATTGAAGTCCATTGTGACCTTCTTGATCTTCAATATCAGGTGTTATAAACGCCCCGCGAGCTATCTCAAGAAGGCGCGCATGACGAAGGACCAATAGCTCATTATCATCCTGAGGCACCAAGCAAGAATCGCCATGTGAATCTTTTGTGGGTGGTTCTGGGCTATTATCGATTGTGATGGTTGGCGGGAGTAGCTCAGGTGTCGGTAAGTGGTGTATTATAGAGTTTGGTCTTCGAAATTCTCGGGGTTCTGTTGTTGTGTTGTAAGTTGGTGACCAGCTATGTCCCCTACTTGAACTTCTCATTTGACAATGTGGATCCTTTTGCTGTGCCAGATTGGATTGAAGATTCTTTGGGACATATCCAAAGGCATCACGTGTTGGTGGAAGAACAATATTAAGCATTTGTAAGGTCAAGAGAGAATTTTGTTCGAGTCTATCTGCCTGTTTGGCTAGTAAGTGAAAGAAGCTTCGCCCAAATACGTCAAAGACGTGTACTTTAATGTTGTATGGATTAAGTTTTTGCAAAAGCCACATTAAAGTGTCGCTATCCTCGGCACACATGCGTAGGACTTGCTGGCGCAATACATGAAGAAAAGTCTGGCCAGAGGTATTCGTGGCATTTCCATCTACGCCACTCTTTAATGCATTCAAAATCACGTCGAATGAGGCGCCGCGAGCAGCAAGCATGTGAAGCGCAGTATTGCCAAAATGATCTCTAAATCCTAAATTTAAATTCTGCAAAGAGATTGGAGGGTCGCGCACACGATTATCCACAAGACCAACATTTGACACCCAGACTTTAGATTTAAGCCCATCTAAAGTATGACACAGACAGGTCTTGGCATCATGGGTCTTGAAACCTCTGATACACAAGCCTTGTCGCTGTATGTGGCGGTCAATCAATAGAAAAGAACCAGACAGCACTAGTTCAACACCTTGCTGAGGTGGAGTTGCCAACCCAGACGGACAGAGTGTGGGAGTACTTTGAGAATTATTGGTAGAAGTGACAGAATAATTGTTTTTAGGCCTTGTTGTGGAGGCATCTGATGATTCCGATATGGAGTGACTTTTTATGAGACGTGTTATACCCTTCAAGTATCGAGTTGAATATTGTGGGAGTCGCTTCTTGAGACTACTAGTGGAGAGATATGTTGATAGAGTCTTATCGTCTTCTTCGGTAGGCTTCTTAATAAATATAGGCTCGGCAGATTCTGCGGTTAGCTCTTCTATATACATTAAAATATCATCTAATCTGCGGCTTGTAATGTTATGTATCAAAGTATTTCCCAACGGATCTAATATGCAGAGCGCACGACGAAAGGTCTCGTCATCTTGAGGAAATAATATTTTGAAAAGTTCAGCAGTTTGTGTTGGGGTCTCGGGTGTAAGATCTGAATCATTTGTGCGCTGATAGAGGACGAGAGCATGCGCTGGGGTCATCCCTTCTTTATCTGGGCCGATTCTATCTCTACCATGGGCAAATGCGCATCTCATCTGATCAATGTAGGAATCGGAGTGCGGGTTCGTCTGTCCACAAATAGGACATTGATAGAATGTATGATACTTGATACCTCTAGCACCTCTAGCAATATCTTGATACCCATATGACTGCGAACTAGTACTTCGTTCCCTCTTGATGTTTATTGATGGAGAATTAGTTCTCGACAATACTGAACTCTCCAAAAATGGAAGATCAAAGGGGAGAGAGTAAAGAGTGGGCGTTTCAGTGTGGGTCGTGGCTGTAGATCCACTCGCGAGGGGACTAGGTGGATATGGAGAGTCGCAAGCCTCCAAAGCAAATAAATCTTCTAAAGGAGTCTCACTAAATCCTGGGGAAATGAAGGCTTCTGGAACTGGCTGAGAAGCACATCTTGATTCTTTAGAGATTGCTCGATTTGTAGGTAATTGTCTCTTTGTCTTCGTAAGTTCTGATATTTTCTCTGTCATGTCCTCGCGATTTTTGGGACGAAGCCATCTTGGCTGTTTATCAAGTAATGAATTGACAGTCTTTACGGTCGACTCTTTTCTGGCGCTTTAGTTAGTGATAGTTGCAAGCCTTGGTAGCAATATGAAATTAGTAACAAACCCTGGCTTCCACTTGCTATCTTTTTCTTCTAGTGCCTGGGATATATCTTTTGGAGGTAAAGTGCTGTAGAGATAAAGTCGTGCAAGCTTACGCTGACGAGATTTAGTCCATTTGCTAGGTCGACCACGCTTCCCTGACAAATCTTCAACGGTGTTGGAGACAGTAGATGCCTTGTTAGATATGGATTCAGAGATTCGGGGTCCATCGCTTGATTCAGGAATATTCATGTTGGACGGGTGAAAACCCAATTTTCCATTGAAAGTGAGAAGTGGCTTGGTGTGTATAGCAGTAACTCGCGTTAGGCGCGTCAAGTTTGAATAATTTGTATAGTAATAGTGGTGTCGCGGCACCGATGAGGCACCACCACTCGCAGAGCTCTCTGGCCAATGAAATCACTGATTGATGGTGAGAAGTTGTATCAGAATACTGTGTATAACGGAGGGATAGGCATCTTTGTTACAGCGAATAAAATGTTCGTAGACAATTATAAGACAAAAGCGCGACTCAGCAGGAGCTGTGGTGGCCAAAGCAGAGAATCTGGTTCATGCGATGATAGTTTGATGTCAAGGCTGAGTGATGACAAACACGAATAGCAGATGTCAATTTTAGCCGCGTCCAGGAATTATCGCGAAATACTTGAAAGAGGAACGTTACTTAAAGCTCACTCTTTCACTTTACCATCCTGAAGGTAACAAGGACCTGCATATCTTAATATAGTCGTACACTAAATATGATAATAATACATTACACTAGTTCAAATCATCTCACCCTTCAATTAATTCTTAGGGTGTCCCACGGTAGTTTTGGTAGGCTAAAGGGTTATGCAATATGACACACAACAAAGAAACTTCTCGTGCCTGCTGCTGTCACTGTGAACCACCCTGATAACTTACTCGTGGGCCCCGCTCCCCAAATTGCTTCTCGCAACCCACCAAGACGCTAAATATCGGAGCAGCGATGTACTAAGACACCAAGAGATAGTTATATTAACACAATCCTGAGAAGCCGTCAGACACCCCTCAACTTCTCCGTCCAGACTGAGACCCAATGAGCGGACTGGAACATTCTGTAACGTCGGGTCTACGCTTGTCTTGAAGCTAAATTGCCTACAATTAGACTACAAGAGACCATGTAATATAAACTGATTTTCAAGTAGTTTGTGATCCAAATGGAAGAGCGCGTAAAAGGGAGAGCTAACAATTGCATTGTGTCTATACGTCGTTCGCATAATGAGAGAGGGGCAGTTCGAATTCTCAATTATTGATTAATTCTATTGGAAAGCGGTTAGTTTTGGGAGGGATTTTCAATAAGAAATTATTAAGTTGGTTAAGATGTCTCTGTGTAGCGGGGAGCATCCTCGTCGGTGTTTGCAGGTATTGGTGGCCTGAAGGTGACGTGTGTCAGTGATCGAACTCATCCGATGTACCTAGCGAAGCAAAATGGACAAGGTCCGAGCGTGGCCGCCGTAAAGCATGTTGACGGAATAGTCTCTGCCTGTGCGGCTCATACCACGCTCGGTCCATGCGAAGCGCTATCGGCATACCCAGTTGTCAGATTTCATCCTCTCCTATATCCCAGCTAAGCGCCATGCATGTAGGTCAAGAGACTAGGGATCGTAAATTGTCCACTTTCCCACCACAATACAAATGAGAGTCGATCGATAATTATGTGAGTGAGAAAGAAACGGGATAAGACGAAAACTTAGCGCCCTATTAGATAGCAACCTCGTTTCATGCATGCAAGGTATACCTGCGATTCTCTTGATCTGCTAGGTTATTTTACTCTGGTTTTTTCCGGGAGGATCTAATTCATGATCGCTCTAACCCTCTATGCACCGAGCCTTCGATTGCTGGAACTAAAATCATCAAGACTAAGCTGCGAGAAAATGGGGTTCGAAAGAGCCGAATTCATGTCAGTCATGCTTCAGGTGTTTATGTAAGCGACAAGCTGAGAAGTAATACAGATATTCGGATCGTGACTACAGTTGATGCGCATATTTGTACACTAACTTTACAGAAAACAGGCCAGGCGCATATTCAACTCGAGAGTCTCTGCTGGCTACCGTTTCCAGTGTCCACGTCAATGCGTAGTGGAAGCTCATCTATTCAACTCCACTCACATCCTTGTCATCGTAATTTAGTTACGTCTTTCTCTTTTTCGGTCTCCCTACTCATCCCTGGAATAATGAGGGTTATTCTTGCCAGTGAAAGAGGAGCCATTTGCCCATCGCCAATCTGGGCTTTTTCCCAAATACTGCTTGCCAATACTTTGCGCATCACCGAAAAATGGGTACTCACACGGCTCTTCTCTCCACAAGTGCTTAATTCGGTGCACCCTCTGATTCCTTGAAGTGCCGCTTACGCTTCCTGCCACAACAAATCCCATTCATGGAATCCACGCTGATCGTGAGGTTCCATTGAATTCTACCCATTGCAAGTAGCTGCAGCATTAGAAGGTTAGTCGGAAGAGGTAATTTTCTTTCAAATCTCGTCAGCTTTGTAGCTTTTCACAAACTATCCAACTAAAATTTGAATAGGCGTTCTGCGACTGGATCACGGAACACACTATACAACTCATCCAAGCTTCATGCAAGGTTGCGTAAAACTCTATCCCACGTCGGCCCGTTGTTTCACCAGAATTGAGTAGTTGACGCTGGAAGCCTTTCATAGACCACATAGCTGTCGTTCTTGCCGCTCCACGAATCGGCTCCGCTGGAGCAGCACAATCTTGCATGAGAAACTCTCGCCAAGTGCACACATCGTGTCACCGTCATCGAGTAACAGCCCGGTACCCAGCCCTTGTCCTAGAAAGTCCCAGGGGCCATGCCGCTACTCGGCTAAATTGATGGCAAATTTCGGCTTTCCACTTTAACAGGCGGCTCCATGCATCACGCGTATGGTGGCTCCGCCAAATTGTAAGGCGCAGGTCTCAAAGTGATTTTAGATCATTTTTTATTGCGATGTGGATTGTGCCTCGTTGATATTTGTATTCGTTATATACAAGCCGACTTAATCCTGGTCCTATCATCGGACCAGAACGCCGGCGACGAACCCTAGCCCTAGTTGTGATTCGAAAACAACCTTGAAAGAGTGTTACCTACTCCCAACATGAGATTTTAATTAACATATACAGAATACTAATCTAGACCGATCAACACAGAACTTGATGATACAGCATGGTATAGTCTTAACACAATGGGATGGGCCGCTGTAATTTCACACACAGGTTAAGGATCTAGCTGTTGTCATTGAGATAAAGGAAGCGCTCCAGATTCGACAAATGATGATGGTCTGGTTCATGTAGAAGTGCCAGTTTTAATTAAAATAAGATATCCATGCTAGCTTAACTACAATCAGGAAACTGAGGCTAACAGAAGAATCCTTATGATGCAGCATCTAGCGGAATTAAATCAAACCAGAAACAAACTTTGATCCGAGTCAGAATTTGTTAGTGTTGGCGACTATATGCTGTTATGAGCAAAATATATCATGGGAGATGGATTCATCTCAGTTGGATATTGAATTAGCCTGGCGTTTACTTATCCTTTTCAGCCTAAAACTACTAGTTTATAGGCACATCATCCTTTCCTGCGTCTCCAAATCAGCTTCCGTCTAACAGTACGACCCCTTAGTTTATAAATGAGATCAGAGTCTTCAGGGAACTTGAAAAATTTCGATGTACCCCTTCTATGATTTACAGAATGAAGGCCATTTATGGAATCGATGGAGGTCAAGAAAGCTCTAAAATTACTACTGAGCACGATGCTCCCCTAACACTGACACCTGTACTAACCCCGAAGATATAGTTACTCTTCTGATGCGCTCCAAGAGATATACCAACCAGATAATGCAGACTATTGTGTACCTAAGGCAGTCACTTCTTGCCTTCTTAGCCTCTTTCCAGCTCTTTTCTTTGTTTGAAGCGAGGGGCAAATCGCAGTTCGGGTTTGATCGTCAGAAAGCTCTTGGTTGAGTCTTTGAGCTATGGATAAGCTTACCCAAACTTCCTTGCGCCGCCCTGGTCAGTGGAAAATGCACTAAACTTGTTACCAGTCGAAGCTCTCCTAGCTAGCATTGGACTCGATCTCGGCTTTGGAGTCCCTAGCGCGAGAACTGAAGGTTCGTGTCGGACATCGCTGATGGAGGAGTGCAGCTGACACTATAAACACAAGCAGACGATAGAAGGTGTTGTGGTCCTCCTGGTGGTGTTCTCTGGTATGGTTTGAGTAGCCTGGGCACCTACTACACTTGCGAAGGAGATACCTCAGACCATATTTCGCGCGGAGAAAAGTTGAAAGATGATGGAGGCATGTCTGGATAACTCAGGATCTTTGAGATGTTCCCATGGGTGGGTATTCACGGATGAGGGTTGACTTGGGGTGAAGAAAAAGCCACCATAACTTCGCAGTGGTACTTGCAAATGAAATCCGAGGCATGAGTGTTTCTCTTGTAAATTGAATCATCCATTCTGTACTTTTCTTTGATATTGTGTCATAGCTAGATAGCTGCATACGCAATTAAAATCTGACGCAAAAAAAAATCGCAGATGGAGGTTGATTCCTTCTCTTCCTTATGAAGTAACGTTATATGCGTCTAAACCCCAGTTCCGACTTCGGCACATAAACCTTCAAGGCTGCAAGGGCATGAATATTATCAATTCTCAAGTCTGATCACAACACATCATCGTAACCTATTCACGCTCTGACATGTATAAGTAAAGAAAGGAAAAGTCTATCCTCTAGAAAGTGCTGACCCATGCGAGAAATTGGTTAGGCCTCAGATTACGGGCTTTCCGATATCTTAACTAGGCTCTTCTGGTATGTAGTTCAATTCTCATTGCGAGCGTCGTAAAACTTCGGTACGATCCCAGGGGGACTGTTTTTAACGCCTATCGGTGGTGTCCCCTACGAATCTCCAGCTCTCACTGTAGAGTCTGCAGAGCCGAGATTGAGTAAAAGGGTCCTCACTTCCATGAGGATTCCCATTCGCTTTCGCGGTCTGTATCGTCTTCATCTCTCAACACATTCCCCTATCACCACTATCATGAAGCTAACCACGATCTGATCAGATGGTAAGGCCGAGGCCCTTCTTATCACCAACCCTTGATCACGGAGGAAAAGCCATCCGATGAGTTTCTGGAGCGTACCCAGCACCCGATACGGCGATGGTGGATTGGATCAAGATGGCCTCGAATGTTGCAAAGAAGGGACATGTAGATGAATAAGGGC